CACCCCCCGCGTCCGTCGACGAATTACTGTTCTCCGCTGCGTGCCTCTGCGCTACCGCCAGCTTCTCGTGCTCGATGGACAAACCCTTCACCTGCAATTTCATCAAATTTCTCTTTTACTCATTTCATGTTTAGTCTACATTTCGTCATTTCATTTGAACATGTTCTGGTGAATAATTAACCGATCGTCTATCATTCTCAATGATCTATCATCGATCATTTTTCTACTGAGGTTAATGATAGAAATATGAAAGATATAGATATAGGTGGATATTGAAATTTGTATATGTAGATATTTGGTGATACTGATATTTGAAAATATAGTGATTCTTGAGTATAGAAGTATATAGAGATATCAACATTTAAGAATATAGAAATTTGGAAAATTTAGAAATTCATAAGTTGGAGTATACAAAAGAAACAGAGATCTAGAAATAACAATTTGAGAAAAGTAAAAATTTGAGGCAGAAACATCTCACATGTACTTCATCCAACAGATCAAATAAGATCGATGACATAAGTATCGCAAGTACAGCAAAAGTTTTTCGCAAGTACCATAATATAATATTTTCTAATTTTCTACAATGAATCTAAAGCATATGCAGCAATATCGAATAAATCTTCCGTTCGAAAGAACATTGACACGGTCGTTCACCGTACTCCCGTTTATAACAGGAACTACCGGCCATTAATTGTGTCCAAAAATAAAAAAAAAGATGTTCCCCCGAAGAATGCAAAGTACGCGGTGCGCGTTCGAACACGTGACTACTATTTAGGGCAATTATTTTCGAGAGATGGAATAAGTCGCATACTTGAAGGCATTCGGCTGCTTTGAGGAAAGAGCTGAGGGATTCCTGGGACACGTGTACCTCTCCACGGTACATGAATTCGAGAAGGGACGCCATATTGTGGGCACTCGTCCCGTCGAGAATAACGATCAGTCCCGCGGGAGAAGGAGGCATTCCTTCGAACAGCTCTTGAAAGTGCTTGCTGCATGCTGCGAGGATTAACCTATGTGCCTTGAACGTTACTCCTGAAACATATGCAAAAATACATATACGTTAGCTTATCTTTACGTTCAAGTATTAAGAAAAACATTTGGAAACATTTCTGAATGATTTGAGAGTTAATTGATATTTTTTTACTTTGTCGATCATTGCACAAATTTAATTCGACATATGGGGTTTGGGGGTATATTTTCTATCCTTTAGGGATATTTAGGGATATGTGAAATTATGGGGAAGAATTTAGGAATATGTGGATCTAGGAATGTGGTAATTCAGAAATATAGCGATCTAATGAAATGGGAATCAAGAGATGTGAGAATTTAGGGATATGGAGATTTGTGCATGTGAGGATGTTGCGATCTGGACACATGGAAGACCTATAGATAGAGGAATCTAGGGATATCTGAATACCGTCAGTTAAAGACATAATGATACAGAGCTATGTGTCTAAGGATATGTGAAACTAGACATGTATGATTTAAGAATATGTGAATGTAGAAACATGTAGTCACACATATGGACTTAGGTGTACATGGCATTAAGAATATCTGGATATAGAGGTATCAGGATGTCCAGGTATTTAGTGACATCCAGGAACATACTGATACTTGATAGTATGAAGATCGGACTCGAAATCCGTGAAATTTTTTATCATCACAAGACAGAATAAAACCGCGAACAAAGGACAACGCCACGAGGATATCCAACAAAGGACGATTACTTAGGCCAGGGTTGTACGCTCGCGTTTTCCAAGAACTACTCGACTTTCGGTACCCGTGCATGTTTCTATTCTCTACTCGTTTTTTCTCACGGCTTTCATGGTGCCCGGGCACCGCGGGAATTTTGGCGTGCAAAGGAAGCGGTGACTGTCGAACCCTTTTTTTTTGTTTTCACCGCCTCGTGTTCTCTATTTCCCTCCGCGAGAGAGCATAAAGGAGGCAAAGAGCGCCAGCTTGACGTCCGATGCCCTTTTCTTGCAGCCCGTTGGATATCTAGGCCATCTTCGGACACGATCTTCCGTAATTTACAATTCACGTACGCAAGTGTAACGTGCGCGTAATACGATATCGGAGTTCGTCTAACGAATACGGCGCCGCATAGGTTGTAGAACAAATCCGTGAGGAAAATATTTTTATCATAGTCCCTTGCGAACATCGCTCCGCTTACGCGGCGTAATTCATGCTACAATCCTGGATCAACGAATATTAACCAGGTGCCCGTTCCACCATTTACCTCGTTACTATTATACTCAAAAACTAACTGGGTAATTTTTCATTCGAAAGGGTCACTCGGTGAAAAATAGGAATATACGATGTTAAGCAGTATGCAATGTTAAGCAATGTGATGATTCGTTTCTACATTGTTAATATGAATAATATTTATTTCGGAAGGATTGGAAATAGTGGACATATAGAAGAACCATCAGTTGAGAGAGAAAGTTTTTATACCACATCTTGTGCCTAATTAAAATGATACTCCAACACGTGAAGGAGCTCGATGCAGTGAAACGGAAGGATTGGAAAAACAAGGTACAACCTAATACCGATGTAGGAGCACCTGACAAGCCCTAACGACAAACCATGTCACCGTTCGATTATGCACGAACCGAGGAAGATGAGAGGAGACGCAATAACACGATATCCTTCGAATAAGGAAATCAAGAGGAAAAAAAAGGGGAAAGACATGCGAGAACAGCTAGCCAGGTGGCCGAAACCACCTGCCTTTCGGAATGGCTCGCCTAACTAAAGCGTATCGAGTTCTTCGAGGCTGCTTGATATTCGGAAGATTCTTAGAATAAGAAGCAAACCCTGAACCCTTTATAGACCTAACCTCCGATATTCCACGTGCAAGTAAACAGTTCACTAGCTTCTTCAAAATTATCTTTTCGTAACAAGATTTGCGCTCTCGATCTCGTATTTGAGTTTCTTTACTCTCGCAGTTTATGAACAAGCCAGAATTCTTTGATTTTTTGGTATAATTCATTTCAACTTTATCTTCTTCTCTTCATTTTCTCCTTTTTGTTTATTATTTTAATTTTGGGTTCACCTTGATCTTCATTTTCTGTTTCTTCACCATCGTCTTTAAATTCATCTTCATCTTTTGTACATCGCTTTTTACCTTAATCATGTTCAACCTTGTATTGATCTTTTCCATTATAAGCTCCTTCATTTTTATCGTCTTTTCACTCTTGTTCATTATCTGCACTTTCATCTTCATCATTTCCAACTTCAGTTTCAGCTTCATCTTTCTCATCGTACTTTCATCATCTTCATCTGATGACTCTTCATATTGATGTTCACATTCATATTCATATTCATATCCACATTTATATTCATATTCCTCTTCATCTTAATCATTACCTTCATCACCTACACTTCAGACCGAATACAAAAATTTGATAAATGAATTATGAAGAAAATTTCATTTTCATCCGGGAAGATTAAATTTCTTATCCGATACGTTGCATGAGAAGTCGAAGATTTGCAACCTGCCAAATATAGCATCCTATGAATGGTTACAGGTATCGCGGGCCAAATATACATACATCCTAGATGTGTGGTGTGCAGGGGCCAACGACCCAGTCGCGTGTACGTGTGTGGGCGTTTTGCGTACCGTGTTCGCGGCTTATGCCACCGCTGATGCCAACAGCTCATAACCAAGACCCGGAAACATGTGCCTGGAATTCTCGCATCCTTTGTGTGGATCGACGCAGCGAAAATAGTACGCGAATGTGTTTTCGTCTAGCTATTTTCCGAAACCAGAGCTACCCGTAATAACCGCGCTTTTCTCGACCGAAACCAGATTCTTTTTGTCTCGAGCATTATAGTCATGATTGTGGGAGGATCTGAGATGATAGCAATTATTAATTTTGATCATATATTATTCTTCTATCAAATTTCCATATCTTGAATTTTTCAAATTATTAGTATTATTACAAACATTTTTATATTGCTGAAGTTTAGAAATTTTACCATTCAGACTTTGAAGATTGTAGTTTCATTCATACAACTCCACATTTACGTTCCCTAATTTAAAAGTTTTTTTAAATTTCCAAATCTTGCAATTGTAGAATCCTCAGTATCCCAAGCTTCAAAATAGCGACTTCGTAATCTTCCCTCCGTAAAAATAAAAATGAACAAATTCCAAAAGCTGCTGAATTTTCCACCAGCCAAAGATCGACGAAGCGTAATACGATTATTGCGTTATCAATAGTTGTCACAACGATTGAAAGGAACAAGGGAACAATGATAAAGTAAATAGACGTAGACAATCGTCGACAGAATCCGCTTAATGAAATCCATTAGCCGGAGAATGAGAAATTAATTCAAGTCTATAGCCTTCTGGTCGAAGAAACTTGCAAAATAACACGCGCGCAGTTACGCAACGGAGCAATGCACTCTTCGCGGGCAATCTATTCATACTCCAAGGCCAGCTGGTAAACAGTTTTATGGGCTAGGGTTTTTCGGTTTCCTACGATGGTCATCGTTTCCTCTTCTATCGTACGCGATCTTTCTATTACTCCGCGCACGTCTAACGTTGCTGTACGAACCCGGAAGCGGCATAAATTAAATTTCATTCCTGTTATGCCGAAAATGACACCGATTCTTATCGGGACATTGATTCACCTTGCGTCGAAAACATGTGCTTTCAAAAACACCGCCAAAGTTGCATACCGAGTAGCGGATTTCGACACGTCCCATGTGCGAGTGCTTGTTTTGTAATAATTTGAAGTTGGAAATACTGTGTCTGCAAAGTGTTACGAAGTTTTCAAACTATGTACGATAGAGTTAACGGAGATAAGGTGAAGAACGATAGTGTCACGAAAATAAAATGAGAGTACACTGCATGATATGTTCACATTTTAACCAACATCAATTCCACAAGGTTGTTATAATATTATGTGTATATTTTCACGAAGATAAAACTGCAATTTTTTATCGGATATTTTATCTAATTGAGAGTTTTTATCATGACATGAAATTGTCATTTATTTATAATCGAAAGATTAATCTGTTCCGAAGTTGTGTTTCGAAAGTTGTCCTATTAGTTAAGGTGTTAAATGTTAGAAAATACGCGAACAAATCTCCGGCTTACATCGTGTGATAACGATGACTACAAACGTTATCTTACGGTTCTTAGACGTGGTAACATTAGACAAAGCAGTATAACTGTAACTGTGAAAACAGTTCATAATTCAAACGCGGAACGCTGTTAATTTACACTGTCAACGTTCAAATTATCTCGATCAATCTTACTCTACCTCTACGTGGAAGCAATGGAATCAAAAGGAAACGTTTACATTCCTGTTAGCTGCTACGGAGCAATTCCATTCACCAATGATTAGTTGCTCCAAACAATTACGTGCCTCTTCGAGCACGTAAGATCGTTAAAATAAATTCTTTCCGTAAGATTCAATTTTTAGCTTCAAATGACATGCTAAACTTATATTTGGCTAATCTAAAATTATCATATTATACGGAGAATTATCGCGTTTTTAATAAAGTCGATGTTTCGAGTACACGTGGTTACTTTATCAGGAAATCTGTAATTAAGAGCGATGAGGTGTGTAAATAAATAAGAAGTACTACAATTAATTTTCGAGGAGAATACCTAGAATTTACAAGGAATTGATATGTTACAAAACTTTATAAATTGCAATAATATTTTTATATATGGTTATGTATATGCACCTTCATGTACACATATGTACATATGTATATGTACCTTCATATACAAAATTTTTCAAAAAATGATATAGCCTCCTCTGTTATACTTAAAACATCTCATTAGGATGTGGACAATCTTAAAAATAATAAATAAAATATTTAACTAGATACCGAAGATCCTCAATAAATAAAATACTTGACCAGACACGTCACAAATAAAAATCCTAACCAGATCAGATACTTATGATCAATACTAATTAGATCAATACTTATTATAGTAGCAATACTTGATCAGATACTTATCAGATAGAAATTTTAACAGATCCTTAGTAAATAAAATACGAAACTAGATACTCAGT